CCTGTTCTTCATGCTAGAATGCCCAGTGTTCTGAGTTTATTCCATATTTTACAATAATATTGTAAGGTTACGTTCTTTGTTTTATGTTGAAATGTCCAGTGTTCTGAGTTTATTCCACATTTTACCATTACTGTGAGGTCACGTCCTGTTCTTCATGCTAGAATGCCCAGTGTTCTGAGTTTATTCCATATTTTACAATAATATTGTAAGGTCACGTTCTTTGTTTTATGTTGAAATGTCCAGTGTTCTGAGTTTATTCCATATTTTACCACTACTGTGATGTCACGTCCTATTTTTCAATGGTAGAACGTCCAGTGGGTTAAGTTTAGTACATAATGGAATATCCTGTGTTTTGAGTTTAATCCAAATGTAGGTGGCTCAGCGCCCCCAAGTGGTTCAGACAGTGGATCCAAGTTCCTGTAGTTCGTATCCCGTTACCGAATAAAAAATAAAACCGTCAAATCTCACTAATCGAATTGAGTATCTCATAAATTGGCGGTGGGTAATGTTGACTAACTGCTTCCTCTCTATCACTGCAAATTTAGGAACGACTGGCGTAGATAACGATGGAGTAGGTTTTCGCGAAAATCAACAAGCAAACGAATGAAATGTAGGGGAAAGTGAGGTAGATGCTCCCCTCCCCGTATATCATCAGTTATGACGTATCGTTCTGAAGTATTTGTAGCTGCTCTCTATGTCACCCCGTACATATACTCACTGGTGTACCGGCGAATGTGAATTATCAAAGCGTAACTTCATTTTTTTAACAACTTTTAATAAAATAAACACTTTTAGATTTTTATCGTTACAAAGGAGATATTTCAATTTGTTGATTTTTAAACCAATGAAGGACTATAGACAGTTGAATATGCTGATTTATTTTTTCTTAAAAAAAGATTGTTTTGTGATGTATATTTCCAGCATAGGCTTCAGCCGCAATGTACGTTCTCATGCGCCATTATTCTAGATAAAGTGTAACTTGCGCATGACACACAGCCTTCCAGATCCTTGCCATGAGGCACTCCCTTGGATCAGCGGCATGTCTGAGAGCTAAAAGGGCTAAAAATTAGGATTTGATATCCGCGGTGGCCATAGAACAGATAGTCCATTGTCTAGCTTTGGGATAAAAAAAACAAACCAATATTGTCTGCCGGAAATGTAGAATTGATGATTTAGTGATTTCAGTGCAATGGCTGAATGCATAATTGATTTCAAATTATAGTTGTTACGAGATAGATGAGGGCCATTATATCCCATCTTGAGGGTCCGTTTTATCCAACCCTGTAGGTAAAGCGGCCCCCAACCACAAGAAAAGCAAAACTAAAAAGGTCTATGTCCAATCTTTGTTTTAACTAGAAATTACATCTATAATAAAACGGGGTTCATTTTAACATCCTTTGCTTTTTTTCTCGACGTTAATCTTAATATCACAATCAGTTAAGGTGGCTGTCTTACCCCATCTTCCCTTGCCGATTTTGTGAAGTAATTTCTTTCTGACGCCAAGGAGGAAGACGTTCTGTGTATTACCGGTTTCTTGTACATTGGGTTTTGCTTCGTTTATCAACGAGAATAATTTCTTAACTACATAAAACATTCATATTTAAAAACAAAGTATTTTTGCATTCCTCGTGCTTGGGAAAATGCATTTATAAACCTGATTTTGTAAAAAAAATTTCCTTTGTTTGACCAACATTTTTTATACTTCATGTAAATGACCATTCAGCTTGAATATACCAGCGTCTTACTGAGACTCAAACTGCAAGCTGGCTTCTTATAACTCATGCTTAGATTTCTTTGAAACACCCCTTTGACGCCAGCATCTTAATCGTGTTACAAACCAGCATCTTAATTATACTATTGTAACGTATTCTATCGTTGAGCGTGTACTTTTGGAATACGCGATAAAAATAATTCACGTCCAGTCCGCATAAGGATAATGAATTAATTTATTTCTTCAGTAACGTTTCCTACAGGCTGCGTTCACGTAGACGCAAGTTATAGGTCTAATTTCAAAAACAAAATTTTTAACGTATACTCTGAAACTATTGTAGGCCTAATACACTAATAACGTTTAACAGAAATTTACTCAATTGATAACAGATCTGACTAACTTTACTCAATCAATCTCTTACTCTATTTCTTTCACACACTGAATATTAACTGAATTCTTAGTCATTACTCTTCACTAACTTATCACCTATTGATTATTCATATTTATAAATTCTTGACGTCATTGTGAACTTTCTAGGTATTCTAGGCCTACTTTTGTGAACTTCCTTGATCACTATCTAGCTAACATCTAATGTTGTTGTTGTTTCCTATTAAGCACAAAGCTACACAAAGAGCTATCTGTGCTCTGCCCACCACGGGTATCGAAACCCGGTTTCTATCATTATAAGTCCGCAGACATACCACTGTGCCACTGGGGGCGCTAATATCTAAATCAAGGATGGCAAGTAGGTTTTAACTGGCGTGCCAAAATAAAATAAAAACTGTTATACAGTTTCAAGTGTGTAATATATTTATATATACCCACATTTTATTAATTTTTAGAGTTGCAATGTTACATGTATATAAACACTGTATTTATTTAATTGCAAGATCGGAAGATCTTGCCGAGTTCGCTAAGCCTCGGCGCGATGCAGAGTGAACCAAGGCTGAGTTTCAATTAGTAATGATTTAAATTAAAAACATAGATTATTATATCCATTTTAATTTTTTTTAAAACTTTCCTTCATTATCGCTCGCCCCCCGGTGGCACAGCGGTATGTCTGCGGGCTTACAATGCTGATACTCGTGGTGGGCAGAGCACAGATAGCCTATTGTGTAGCTTTGTGCATAACTTAAACAAACAACCATTGTCGCTCAGTTTCAGAATGCCATGTTTGGCTCCCTTGCAGGCCTATTTGCCATCCCGAATCTAAAGGAAAACATTAAAAATATAGCTTACAGGCCTGCGTCTTAATCAAACTTAAATTTGCTCGAAATCGTGTTACAGGCCTGCGTCTTAATCAGACTAAAATTTGCTCGAAATCGTGTTACGGGCCTGCGTCTTAATCAGACTTAAATTTGCTCGAAATCGTGTTACAGGCCTGCGTCTTAATCAGACTAAAATTTGCTCGAAATCGTGTTACAGATCTGAGTCTTAATCAGACAACACGATTTCGAGCAAATTTTAGTCTGATTAAGACGCAGGCCTGTTAATTCGTGTTACAGGCCTGCGTCTTTATTTACAGTAGAGCGGAATAGAAGAAACCATTTAGTGTATCTAAGTATACAGACACTACAGTTCGTGTCGTATAAACGTGTACATTGCAAGTCAGGTTAGTTACATACGAATGTTTTGCATGATTCAGGTAGATATACATAACAGGTTATTTGATAAATAACTACGTATATTCTAGAAGTTGCGAGGCCTAGGTATATGGAGAACTCTGAGGCTGTGACTTGAATTACAAGTGAAAAACAAAGTAGTGCAGTCACTATCCAATAAGAACGTTTGTTTTGAATTTCGCGCAAAGCTACACATGGGCTATCTGCGCTAGCCGTCCCTAAGTTAGCAGTGTAAGACTAGAGGGAAAGCAGCTAGTCATCAGCCAACTCTTGGGCTACTCTTTTACCAACGAATAATGGGATTGACCGTCACTTATAACGCTCCCACGGCTGAAAGGGCGAGCATGTTTGGTGGGTCGGGGATTCGAACCCGCGACTCGCAGATTGCGAGTCGGGCGCCCTAACCTAGCCCTACCGAGCCTCCAATGAGACCGAATTCGCAGTTTTAATATTCTCT